CGCTGACGTCTGTTACGACACTGCAATAGTCCTGAGCCACGCCCCTCACTGGGCCCCGCCCCCGCCTGCTACGGGGCCTTCTGGAATCTCGAGCCTTGTTCGCACCAGCGTAGGGTACTCGGTTCTCGTTAAGTCCTTAGCTCCGCCCCCCACTAAGTCCCACCCCGGCGCTCTTTTCCAGGGCTCTAAACCCCGCCCTAACTATAGCCCCGCCCCTTCCGGCGACGGCTAGGTCGCAGCCACAGCCCTGAGCCCCGCCCCCAGCCCTGGCGCACCCTCCGCAATAGCCAACGCCCACCTCCTGGCCCCGCCCATAGAGGCCGCGCCCCGCGATGGCTCCGCCCACGCCGGCCCCGCCCCACACTTGTTCCTCTGGTGAGCAGGTGGCTCAGCGCGGCTGGCCACAGTCTGCGGCCCCGACCCGCACCACCGTGCCCCACTCCCGGAATGAGGAAACTGAGGCTCTGAGAGAGTAAGTGACTTACCAAGGTCACGCAGGTCAGGCTGTAGCAGGTACAGGGGAGAAGCCAGACCTAACCGTGTCACCTGAGTGGAGCAAGCCTCTGTTGAGGACACCAGCCTGGCAGTGACCCTGACTAGGAGGTCTTTGCCTTGCCTAAGCTCAGTTTCCCTAGCTGTAAAATGGGTGACCTCAGGCGGCTCTCTCCTCCCCGCTCAGGAAGCCGCAGCCCCACGGGGACTGAGCTCTGCTCCCAACTACGAGATGGAGAGCTGGCAGGGAAGGAACGCGGGGCCTTCACAAGCGGACAGGGTTTGGGTCTTACCTGGGGCCCTCTCTCGCTGTGCTGGCCTTCCCACATTCGCGGCTCTAATCTGCCATGAGGGGCCTGACCCAGAGTTCCCGTCACCGACCCCTCCCCAAGGCCCACGCATCCCCCTGCCTGTGCCTCAGCTGTCCCCTGTAAAACAGGGCCAGGACTGCCCATCACGGGTGGGTGTACTAGGGGTAGCCAGGGAATGGATTGGAAATCCCAAAACTCTTGGCCCTGGTTTTGGCGGTCACAGAACGGGAGCTGCCCAAACACTGGGAGCAAATTCCCCTGGGCTTCCCTGGGAGGCCCCGGCCGAGGGACCGCAGGGGCAGGGCCCCCTGGGGCAGGAGGGTCACGGGCGCCGCCTGGGGTCCCTCCTGGCCTCTTGCTGGCGCGCCCCAACCAGCTCCGGGCTCCAGGTGCTCCCTCCCACAGGGGCCTCCCAGTGGAATGCGGCCTGACCCCCTTTATTCCGCTTTCTGCACACTGTAATGGCTCCTAGCATTTACCTCTCGGTTGTTTCTCCCTCTAGAAGTAATCTCAGCGCCATAAGGGCGGGGTCTGGATGGGACTGCGGGGTTTCCCAAGCACTCCCCACCTTCAGTGAGCGCCGGCTGGTGGCCAGCATTCCACCTTCACATCACTCCCCCTAAAGGATGAGCGGGGATACTGAGGCTCAAAGCGTCGGAGTCCTTGCCAGGCCAGGCCTACCAGGTGCAGGATTCGCTTCAAGGGCCCCCCACCCAGTGCGCACGGCCCCGCGCCTCTGTGCCCTCCGGATGTGCCCTTCGGCGAGCTGGGTGGAAGTGCATGGAGGGGCTGGGGTCTACCAGCCCTCTCCCCACCCCGAGAGCAGCAGGTCGTCGCGGCTCCCCACGTCAAAGGGCTGGCGGGACACTCCTCTCCTGGCTGGGAGCGCAGTGTCCTCGGCGCTTGCCCACTCCTGCACCCACCAGGTGCAAAGTGAGCACTCGGGCCGGCAGGACAATGGTCCTGGGCCACTCTGCTGAGCACTGAGGGTCTCACACGGTAGACTGGATCAACCTGTGTGGGCTTTGCAGAGCTAACTGAAGATCCCCACCTGTCCCTGGACCTCAGGGATGCACTGGCCCTGACCCCCTCCACCCCCCCCAACTCTGCTTCCACCTCAGACATTTGCTTCTTTTGAATTCTGTCACTGTGGCATGATTTATGTGATCAGAGAGTAAATACAATTTTAAACTGGGCAGGGGATGCCCACCCCAGGTGGTGTCTGCACCTGCTACCCGCTTCTCATTCAGGCCTCTTCTCAGCCCCTGCCCCAACAGCTCGGCAAAGTCACAAGGCAAACAAGAAGTAGGGATGCTGGCAGCTCCTCACACGGAGGGCTCATCTGCATAATTAATAAGGCCCTAGAAGTCAGAAAGAAGGGGGTCAACACTCCTGTATTCAGTGAAGGAGGAAGCAGCCTTGCGGGGCCACTCAATTCTGACCATGACAAGAATTTCATGTTTCATGGATCCAAGTGGCACAATCCAAGATCCTGATCAAACCCTGTGTGGGCCTGGCAGTGGGGAAGGCCCCACACCACCACAGGGCACCTCCCCAGGCTCTTGATCCTGTCCGCCAGCACTTCCTGCTATCTCCCCACTAGAATGTCAGCTCCTAAGGACAGGGCCACACCTGGTCATGGTGCCAGGCATCTAGTACCTGCTCCAGAAATGCACTTAAAGCCTGACTAGATGAGCTGAAGAAAGAGGGGCTGGACACTCTGGAAAACTGTATGGAGGTTCCTCAAAAAGTTGAAAATAGAGCTACCATATGATCCAGCAATTGCATTACTGGGTATTTACCCCAAAGATACAAAAGTAGGGATCCAAAGGGGTACGTGCACCCCGATGTTTATAGCAGCAATGTCCACAATAGCCAAACTGTGGAAAGAGCCAAGATGTCCATCGACAGATGACTGGATAAAGAAGATGTGGTATGTATATACAATGGAATATTATGCAGCCATCAAAAGGAATGAGATCTTGCCATTTGCAACGACGTGGATGGAACTGGAGGGTATTATGTTGAGTGAAATAAGTCAAACAGAGAAAGACATGTATCATATGATCTCACTGATATGAGGAATTCTTAATCGCAGGAAACAAACTGAGTGTTGTTGGAGTGGGGGGTGGGGTGGGAGGGATGGGGTGACTGGGTGATAGACACTGGCGAGGGTATGTGCTCTGGTAAGTGCTGTGAATTGTGCAAGACTGTTGAATCTAAGATCTGTACCTCTGAAACAAATAATGCAATATATGTTAAGAAAAAAAAAAGAAGAAGAAGAAGGTAGCGGGAGGGGAAGAATGAAGCGGGGGAAATCGGAGGGGTGGACGAACCATGAGAGACGATGGACTCTGAAAAACAAACTGAGGGTTCTGGGGGGGAGGGGGGTGGGAGGATGGGTTGGCCTGGTGGTGGGTATTGAGGAGGGCACGTTCTGCATGGAGCACTGGGTGTTATGCACAAACAATGAATCATGGAACACTTCATCTAGAACTAATGATGTAATGTATGGGGATTAACATAAGAATAAAAAAAAATATATCGTATGATTAAAAAAAAAAAAAAAGAAAGAGGGGCTGGAGGCAGGAGGGGCGTGGGGTGCCATGGGCTGAGGGGTAGTCTGTGTGGCTGGAGCTGATCGTGCAAAGGGACAGTGGTGGGTGATGAGGGGGCCTGAGTGCTCAGGAGGAGCAAGGACGTTCTCCCACATTCTCACACCACCAAGGCCCACCATTCATTCCTTCAGTCTCTCATTCATTCAACACATGTCTCCTGAACACCTCCCGCATGCCCAACCCAGAGCTAGATTATTACAGGGAAGCTGGGGCCCTGCCCCAACAGAGGTCCCCTGATACAGACAAAACAAAGGAGGGATGGGGCGCTGAGCGCTAGGAAAAGCAAGAGGCTAGAGGCCTCCTGGAGGGGCTGCCCACCCCCAAGATGGCCCCACCATCCTCACATCCCGAGTCACGCCCTTCTGCAGTCTCTTCCCCCAGCGAGCCAGGCGGCCTGTGTGACTGGTGACCCGTGGTGGAGTGAGCTGGGTGCCCTCCAGGATGTAAGGTGCCCGTGGCTCTGCCCTTCCCTCCTGGGCCACCTGCTCCGGGGGAGCCGCCCCCACGTGCTGAGGACACGCAGGCCGCGCTGCGGAGAGCCTGGTGTGGGCAGGAGCGGAGGCCCCCAGCCATCAGCCGGCAGCAGCTGCCCGCGAGGGAGGGAATCTCCTGGAAGTGGGTCCCCGGCCCCGTCAAGCCTTCGGGTGAGACCACAGCCTCACGAGAGACCCCCAAGCCAGAGCCACGCTGCCAAACCCCACCTGAAACAGAGCGGTAAGAAGTGATTATTGTTTTTGACCCACTACGTTTTGGGGTCATTGGTCACGTGGCAGCACACAAGGAATGCGATGGACATCGGAGCAGACACCTGGCTGAAGTGAGGGAGAGCTGCAGTCGACAGCGGGGAAGAGGATCATGCAGGAGCCCAGGCACAGATGACCTGAGCTTGAGAGACAGTCTGTGTGGCCGCAGTGGACTCAGCACCAGCAGTGAGGTCAGGGGGTGGCGGGCGTGTGAGGCAGGGTCACGCAAGCCAGGCAGCCAGAGCCCATAGTCCGAGGCTGAGAGGAGGGTGTGCTGATCTCCAAATGGCTGCCTCCCCTTCCAGGCACCCCCAAACCCTGACAGCAGATCCCCCACCACCTCATCTTGACAAGCGCTAGGGCTGAAGAGGGCCTGAAGAGAGACAGGGAGAACTCAGAGCCTCGGCGGACTTGCTCAAGCCCCATAAGGAAGAGCCGTTTACGACCACATCGTCGTCCCCCTCTACGGGATCAAGGCCACAGGGCAGCCTGTCATGGAACTGCTTTGACAAGACTGGGGTTGAGCAGCTGTGGGTTGGGGGGGCACCAGGATGGCTTTGAAGGTGTCCACCCCTGCCTGGTCCTCCTGCCACGCAGAAGGGGAGTCCAGCTGCCCCCCCTCAGTAGATGGAAAGCAGCGGCCGTGATCAGGCATGACTTCCCAGGCCCCCGAAGGGCAAGGCTTGCACTCAGGACTCTCATCGTGGACACCAGCTACCAGGGTGCAAGGAGATCCAGGCCACTGGAGACAGCCAGCACCAGGAGCCCGCGAGCCCGGAACAATTAAGAGAGCTGTTCCACACCTCGAGGAAAACCTGCTTGACGTTCTGTTACAGAGACACAGGAAATTGAGACAGCGGTTTTCGCCTTCGTTTCTCCAGTGTTAGAATTGTTTATTTCACACCCCTCTCCCCTCATGGCTACTTGCAGGGAACAGATGCAGCGCCCCAGCCGGGTCCCTGCTCCCTCTCCACCATGCAAAATGAGATTTGCTGAAACGCCCCCAGTCTGTTTACAGGAGCCAGCCGGGGGGGGGGGGGGGGCGGGGGCTGCATGTGGTCCCAGAACCTCAGTGGTGGCTCCAAGGACGCCCATCTATAAAAGCTGTCCAGCTGGGCTCCCCTGGGACAGAACACCCCTTTGGAGTCCCCAGCCCAGCTCCCTGAGGGATCCCTAAACCCGGAAGCTGGTTTCACTGACCCATCGCAAGCTGGACACAGGTCGAGATGTAGGTGGCTGGTGGTGGGGTGGGCCTGGTCCTCCCTGTGTGGAGGGCAGTCTCTGGACTCTGCCTCAGTCACCCCGGGATGTAGGCCATGTGCTGTCTGGACATTCCTGCAGTGGACCAGGAGGCAGGCGGGGCGCCCCCCAGGTCCGCCGTGTGCACCATCACCTGGGCATGGGGTGAGCCCGCAGGACAACTGGTGGTCCAGGGGTCCTTGTCCACGCTGTGGGCCATGCCAGCCAGCTCTCTGGTGCCCTCACCGAGGTCCCTGCAGGAAGAGGAGGCAAAGCTTGGGAGAAGAGCAGGTACCCGGTGTAAACTTGACCCCATGATGGGCCCATGGGGCCTGGCCTTCCGTGGGCTTGGGGCAGGCTCAGAACTGCCCTGAGTCTGAGGAGGTCCCTCCACTAGTGCCCCTGCCTGGGCCTCAGACCCCACACCTGTACGAGGTACCTGGTCCAAGAAGCAGCATGCCCACCTTCCAAGGTGGGAAGGGACTTCTTGGGGTGGTGCTGAGGAAGGGGGCTCACTCAGAGTGTGCATAAACCCCAGGGGCCAGACTTCCTTGCCTGGCCTGGTTGCCCCGGGCAGAGAAGGGACACAGAGGTCCCAGGAATGTCTAGGGAGACACCCTTGCTCCTGGCAGGCTGTCCTCTGGTGGTCTGGGCCCAGATCACCCATCTGCATCTTCAGTTCCCTTGGGCATGCCACCCCCAACCCACAAAGGAACCCATTCTGCAGGCTGGTGAGACCCTGCCCCCACCCACGGGCCCCTCTCCTGCATACACTTGTGCACTGCTCCCTGCAGGCTGTGCACATCCCCCGCCACCCCCCGGCTAAGATACTGTCTCTCTCCTCCCCCCACAATGCAGGCTCTCCCAATCTGTTCACCTCAGGCATCACCTCCTCCAGGAAGCCCCCCCCGATCTCTGCTCCCCCTCACACCTAATTCTCAGAAAAGCTCTAGGAAATAGTAGGAATTAAGAAGTTATCTTTTAGTTCAATGAGTAAGTGAATCAATTAATTAATTAGTGGAGAGGAAAGACTGCTTAGCAGGCAAGTCTATGGACAGCCTTAGTTCAAACCCAGCTTCACACTTAGTAGTTGTGTGTGACTCTGGACAGTCTTCTTAAAATGGGATGAAAACAGTGCACCCCCCATCCCCCAAGGCTAGAAGAGTGTCTGGCACGGTGGGAGAGCCGGGAAGCATCCAGGAAGCAGAGGCAAGGTCAAGGGCACACCCCACCTCCTAGAGACGGCTTTACCGCCCATGGTGGGAGCCGCCAGGCACCGGGGCCTTGCCCAGGAGGGCACATCCGAGAGGCAGCCATTCCTCCCCCCCTGCACCGGCGCGCTCCCCAGCCGGGACACAGGACAGTCCGCCACAGGTCTGTAAGCAGGAGGCGCCACCGGCGGGGGTGACCGAAAAGCTCTGAAACCTGCCGAGGGGATGCGGCTTTTGGAGAAGGGGATGCGCTAGCCAAGACCGTGCAACACGGCTAGAGCGAGGAGGAAGGCTCTTGCAGCGGGCGGGTGAGGTTCTCTTGCGCAGGCAGGCACACAGAGCTGCGAGGACTGGCCGGTCACCAGGCAGTCACTCAGCAGAGGAGCCCGCAATAAAGCCAGCAACGCCAGCGGCGCCAAAGGCGTGGGAGACGCTCTTCCTCAGCGCTAACCGAGGAGGTGCCTGTGAGCGGGAAGCCTGCACCTGCTGAGTAAGCAAGTGGACAACAGGTCAGGACACCCGGAGGCACGGCCCAGCTCGTGCTCCGGGAGAAAGAACGTGGAGAGAAAAACATCCAGACCGTTTGGCCCCAACAGGCCATTCCTAGGATGGCCCCAAATGTCGTCCTGGAAAAGAAAAACCACTCGATGTAAGCAGACATTCACCCAAACCCGAGTGCAGTGGGTGGAGCATTTGGGGTGCAGCTCGGGGGCCTCAGACGCCAGGGCAACACGGCATGGCGTGGCGGTGGAAAGGGCGCAAGGCAGCGTCTCCGCTGAACCACCGTGATGTACGCCTGCTGCGTGACCTACGGTGCACCTGGAGCTCCAGGGAGGGGACGGGAAATTGACCCCTTCCCACAGGCCCAGCACGCGGCACGCGGACACGGGACCAGACGGCCACGCCAAGCCCACGTGGGGCGCCGTCTCCTGAGCCTCAGTGTCCTCATCTGTGCCTCAGACACAAGAGCAGGGAAAACGGTGATGGCCGGCACTCACGGAGCCCTCCCCCCGGCCCAGCCGAGACCCTCACTGTTGGAACGAGGACACCGAGGGCCGAGCGGCCACCACACGGCATGGCCATCAGGTGGGGACAGGCGGAGGGAAAGGGCAGCCAGCCCCGTTTCTGAGTGCTGCCCTCCACCCCTTCCCTGGAGGCGCAGAGGGCCCCGGGCCACGGCACAGGAAGCACTGGGGGTGCGTGCTGGAAGCAGGCAGGATTAGGGCATGGCGCGGCTCCCGCCAAGCAAGCGTTGGAGCCAGGGGACAGAGACCGTGAGCATGGCAGGTGGGCAGGAGGCCCATCACACTGTTCCTTCTGCTTCTGTCACCCCCAGGCAATAACTGGTTCCGGCTGGAACGTCCCTGGACCCCGAGGCCACGGGTCAGAGGTCGTGGGCAGCAGAGCGGCCCCTCGCAGAGACCCCAGTCTGCGTGCCCGCGGGGCGCCAGCCCGACCCGCGTCTGTGATCTGCACCCACGCCACCACGGGGCACCTCGCAGAGACGCAGCCCGAGCGTGGCCGTGCGGAAGCCTGGCGGCCCAGGACACGGTCTCTGTGGGACCACAGGCCCAGAGCCCGCAAAAGGCAATGCCCATTTACGGCGCCCAGAGGCCCCAGCCGCCAGTGCCACTTGTCCTCGGGGTCAGAGGGCACACGCTCAAAGCTAGCGACACTGGGAGGTGCTCTCTCTGCAGCCCCCGTGCCGCCTCGACTGGGCTCCGAGTCAGAGAACGGGACGTCAGAGAACGTCCTTGTAACACCTCAGGAAGTGTGTGCATGTGTGCAGGAAGCGTGAGAGACAGGGAGCCCTGCGGGGCCCTCGGGAAGGGAGCGCACGCCTCCGCAGGTTTGAACTCCCAGGATAAAGGCCTCAGGTGCGGGGCCTGGACCCAGGGCTGGAAGGACCGCCGGCCGCCGGCGCAGGTGAGCCTGAGCAGCGTGTGGGGCAGCAGAGTCCTGGCCAGGCCAGGCCCCCCGCCCTTGCCCGGTGCCCCCCTCGCCGCCCCGTGCGCACGTGGTGAAACTGTAGTTGTCATGCGCCTGGCCGGGCCGGCCCCCCGGCTCCCTGCCGCCGCCGCTGTTGCTGTTGTTCAGACCCTTGAGGCCGAGGCAGGCCGCCGGCGCCGTCTCCAAGTCCCCGGCTCTCAGCTGGAGCCACAGCTGGGTCGCCCTGGGGAGAGATCGGGGAAGGACGCTCAGGACACCAAAACCTCTTCGGGGCGGCTCTGCTGCTGTGGCCGAAGCTCTAGAGATGGATGGCGCCAGTGGAAGCCGAACACCGAGCCCTGAATCGCACGCGCACAGAGGGGTCGGATGGCAGCTTGCACGCTGTAAATATTTTAGAGTAAGAAACATACAGAAAAGGCTACGTTACGGTGAAGAAGGAAAGTGGCGGTGGGTCAGCCTTCCAGCCGCCGGCGAAAACTCACCATCGCCGGTCAGCCCTGCTCGCCTGGCACAGCAGGGCGCAAGCCGCGAGCCGGCCCAGACTGAGGGAGAACCAGACCAGCCCCGCGTGCTCGGCCCGGTCAGGACCAGACCAGGCCTGTGTACACAGCCGTGAGGCTCCGTGAGCCGTGGGATGCAGAGACCCCGGGTGCCACGGGGCAGCGCCTGGCTCAGTTCCCTGAGCAGCCAGGGCGGCCCCCGCATCCCCAAACGCCCGCAGGAGGCCCCGGCGCGGACAGCGGGTGCCTGTCAAGAGCCTCTGCCTTGGGCCCTGGCAGCGGGGCGCGGAGGCCGCAGGGCCAGCGTACCTGTCGGACGGCTGCTCGCTCCTCTTCATGCACTTCATGAGGCAGCAGGTGAGGAAGGCCATGGACATGAGCAGGATGATGGCGCAGCTGACAATGGAGGCGATCACGGCCACCTTGAAGCCAAAGGTCTCATACGGCGGCACAGCTGCAAGGGACATAAGGCCACCTCCTGCGCGGGGCTTGCCGAGGCCCCCAGCAAGCCCTATCCCGTGGGGGTGGTGGGAGCTGGTGGCGGGGGCAAAGTTCTGTGCAGAGTATTGTCGGTGGGGTTATCAGGGAACGCTGCCCTCTAAGAAAGGGGTGTTCGGGCAGGGCTTTGGAGGGTGTGTAGGAGTTCACAGCGGCACACTGGAAACAGCTCTGACAGCGAGGTCAGTGGTGGTCCCTGGTCCCCACACGCTGCAGCCTGGGCCCCAGATGCCTGCACACAGCCCACGGCCTGCTTCCACAAGGTCACAAGCCGGCACAACCCTCTGGGAGCCTATGGGCCGTCTCAGGTGACTTTCCGGAAGGGCTCAAAGGCTGGGGGGAGCAGGCCTCACATTTGCACACGGGGATCACGGAGGACCACTCGGCGGCACTACCCTTCCAGGCGCAGGTCAGGAGGCCGGACCCAACCATCTGGTGGCCTGAGGGGCAGTGGAACACGATGACGGTCCCCACAGAAGTGCCGTTGCCGCGGAGGACTTGGAGGGTGCCCCGTGGGGGTGGCCACACACGTGCGCATGCGCCTAGGGAAGAAAAGAGGAGAGATGGTGTGAGGACCCCATCCTGGCGGGCGGAGGGTGGGCAGGAGCCCCGCCAGCCGCGTGACGCTCCGGAGAAGGTCCCACGGCCCAGACCACTGGGTGTGGCAGCCATCCGGCCGGTGGCCCAGAGACAGACGCAGAGCGGATCCCCACAGTAAGCGAACTCTAGAGGTTCCGAAGACCACAGCGTTGAAAACATAACTTTGTGTCAGAAGACAATAAAGGCAAATTCAGGTGACCCTTGAACACGGTTTGAACGGCTCGGGTCCACTTGATACAGGACTTTTTACAGGACAGAACTGTCCGCGTATTTCCCTTACTTGCGACTTTCCCAATGTCGTTTGCTTCTCTCCCGCTCCCTTTACTGTAAGAACACCGTACGTAACACATCTAACACACAAGCTACATGTCTAGTGACTGCTGGTGTGATCGGTGAGGCTTCGGTCACCAGGAGCCAGCAGTGGTAAAGTTTTGGGGGAGCCTGAAGTTACAGCTGAATATCAGCTGCATGACCCTGTGATGTTCAAGGGTCAACGGCACATAATTAGCATCTAAGCAGAGCTCTGAAGGCAGAGTCCAGAAAAAAGGGAGGGACAGTGTGGACAGTGTGAAGAGTAAACAGGAAAACTTCCAATAATGGAAGAAACAGGAAAAGATATTTGGAGAACAGAGGACAAAGGTTCAACCCATGTGCGATCGCACACACCCACACAAACGGAACATCCCTGTGAACGGGAACGGCTGATGTGGGACGCAGCCCCTCACGGAGGAGATGCAAGGAGCCAAGCGCAGGAAAGAACACTAGTCCTTGCAGTTCTGGGGAGAGCTAGTCTTCCCCCCTTACGCTGGTAAAGAGGAAGAGAAAAAAGACCCACGGCGAAGGTCCTAGGGCCGGGAACACCCGCTCTGGGACTTGGCTGGTGGGTGTGGATCCAAACCTCCCTGGATGAGTCTGGGAAAACGTTAAGAGCCTTGTGTCGTGTGTATCCTCCAAGAATTTAGCCAAAGGAAAGACGATGAATCTGCAGCCAGGATTTCTACACCAGGATGTTCACTCCCAAGCGTACGCAGAAGAGTGGGGGTTGGAAACCACCATGTACCCTGCTGTGGGGCCGGGACAGGGAATCCAGGAACATCCTGGCGACAAATGCCACCATGCTGCCCTACGTGAGGGCACAGAGACAGGCTGAATGAAGCAGCAATCACAGCACTTGTATAAAATAACCACAACGACAATAGCTGGCACTTCCCTGGAGCCTACTGCGTGCGGGACGCTGAACCCACACCTTACATGCATTAACACATCAATCTGCACAGCACCTTCCTGGGGAGCTGCCATTCTCCCCACCTGACAGGTCAGCAAACCGAGGCACAGGGTGGTTAAGTCACTTCCCGAGGTCACAGGGCAGGGATTCGGAACCAGGCAAGGTGGCTCCAGGCCAGCTTCTCAACACACGTGTGCACACAGACACACACGTGCAGAGACACACACGTATGCAAGATACACATGCATGCAAGACACACACATGCACACAGAGTGCACACAGAGTGCCCAGAGACACACGTGCACAAACATGCATGTACACAGACACACATGTGCCCAGAGACACACGTGCACAAACATAAGTGTGCAGAGACATGCATGCAGACACACATGTGCCCAGAGACACACGCGCGCAAACATACATGCACACAGACACACGTGTGCCCAGACACATGCGCACAGACACACGTGCACACAGGCATGCATGCACACAGACACACATACGCCCATACGTGTGCGTGCACAGCACGCACACACACGTGTGCAGACGTGCATGCACATGTGTGCACACAGACACATGCACCCAGCCATGTGTCCTTTGTGTCCAGCTTCTCTGCTCATGACAATGCCCAGGGGAGGCGCCAGGCGTGACGTTCTGCGGCCCACTTGGCATGCCATGACCCGCCAAGCTCCTGCACTCCCCAGCCTGCTCATCACGTGGCTTTCCCCGTGTTCTGACGTTAGCACCAGGCCTCCCTCCTTCACTTGCTCCAGCCCCAAAACTTAGAGCCCTCCCCGACTCTTTCTCTCAATCCACGGCCAATTCACCAGCAAACCCTGTGGGCTGTGCTTTTAAAATCTATACCCAGGACATCTGCAGGGAGCTGGAGCGCCCCTCTCAGCACCCCACTTCACACAGGCTGTGAGGGCCGAGCACACCCAGGATGGGCCAGGGCAGTGGCTATTCCTCGGACCGGCCACAGCTGCACATGCACACCCCCCGCACAGCGCGTCACATGTCTGCGCACGACCAGCCCGTGCAGGGGGAGGCCAGGCCACCCGTTGTCACGCTGTGAGGGCGAGGCTGCGAAGGGGGCAGCGGCCTGAGCATCGGCCCTGTGGGGGGCAGAGCCAGGCCTTCCGCCCGCCAGGAAAACAGCAGGAGCCGTGGCTGCCCGACCCCTGGCTGTGCGCAGTGACCATGAGGGACGGCGCCTGGCTGGGCTCTGCCGGGCTGCAAGTGCTCGGCCCCACCGGGAACCTGGAGGGGGGCCCACAGGCTGCAATGTGGGGGAAAATGTGAGCCGGGGGCCTTATGCTTTGTGCACTTTGTTGGGGGGCTGACTCCCGGATCAGCTCAGACGACGCTGGGCACCTAATGGGTGCTTCGCGCCCGTGAGCAGGGCTGTCCCTCACTCCCTCACAGATGGGGAAACTGAGGCACGGCAAGGCTGGACAGTGCTGGGCCTCCCCATGTGCAGGTGTCCATCACCAGCGTCCCCACCACCACCAGCAATGCAGCTCTCATAGAATGTTCTGGTCAGAAAGCACCCTCACTCCTGGCCTGGTGCAGCACTCATAAGCATCCCAGGGGACAGCGCAGAGGAGTCCTTATCCCCACTTTTCTGCGAGGACACCGATCTTGCGGAGGTGGCGGACGCCACGGGGAGGGGCCCAGAAGTAACACCGCAGCATAGCAGGGCTGCCTCTCCCGCACAGACCGCACTTACGCATCAACAACAGGGTCCAAAGTCACAACAGAAAAGTACGGGGCACTCAGAACAGAGAAACAAATGTCTTAAGAACCAGGGGCAGGGCAATGAGTTAAAAAAAAATTAAATAAAAGGCATTCACATCGGAAAGGAAGAAGCAAAACTTCACCATCCAATGACATGATCTTGGATCTAGAAAAATCCCCAGGAATCTAGTAAAAACCTGCAGAAAGCAATAGGCAATTCCCACGGGGCCGCAGGAGACAAGACCGACACACGGAAATCCGTGTATTTCAGCACAGCGGCCGTGAACAGCCTGGATGTGAGACGGAGACGGCAATCCCACTTACTTACGTAGGATAAACTGAACAAAAGAAGGGCAAAACTTAAATCCTGGAAACTCTAAGACATTGTTGGCGGAAATAAAGGTCCTGAACGAAGGGGAAGCCGCCCACCCCTTCGGACCGGGAGACGGACCCCATGGGGACCGACGCTAGCCTCCACTCATCTGCACACAACACGGCCTCTACCAGAGTCCCAGCTGCCGCCCCCCAGAAACCAACAGGCTGGTCCCAAAATTCATAAGGACTTGCAGATGGAGCCCACACAAAAACTATCTCGAAAAAGAACAAAGTTGGAGAACTCACAGTTTCCTATTTCACAACTTTCCACAAAGCTACAGTGACAAAGGGACAGACATTGAGGCCAATGGAGCAGAACTGAGAGCCCAGAAATAAACTCTTATTTACAGCGAAGCAAGTTTCGAAAAACGTTCCAAGACAACTCAGTGGGACGAGAACAGTGCTCCAACAATCAGTACTGGGACGACAATATCCACGTGCTACGTAGAGCTGGCCCTCTGCTCACACCGTACACGAAAACTAACGTGAAGTGAATCACAGACCCAAATATAAGAGCTAACTCTTAGAAGAAAGCGGAGGGGTAAATCTTCCTGACCTTGGATCAGGCAATGATTTCTCAGATATGACACCAAAAGACAAACAACAAAAGTGAAAAACAGATAAACGGGACTTGATCGAAATGAAAAACGTTTGTGCTTCAAAGGACAGGATCGAGAAAGTAAAAAGACAAGCCACAGAGCACGAGAGACCATTTGCCAATCACACCTCTGGTAAGGGGACTGTATTCAGAATGCAAAAATTATTATTAATTTTTTAAAAGATTTTATTTATTTATTTGTCAGAGAGAGACAGAGAGAGAGAGAGAGACAGAGACAGAGAGAGAGAGAGAGAGAGAGAGCACAAGCAGGGGGAGGGGCAGAGGGAGAAGCAGACTCCCCGCGGAGCAGGGAGCCTGACGCGGGGCTCAGTCCCAGGACCCTGGGATCATGACCTGAGCCGAAGGCAGACGCCAAACCGACTGAGCCACCCAGGAACCCCTAAAAAATTATTATACTGAATTATAAAAGGGAACCAAATTTAAAAATGGGCAAAGGATCTGGATGGACTCTAAAGATAGCCCAGTGGCCCACGGAAAGATGCTCAGCATCCGTCGCCTTCAGGAAAGCGCTGATCAGGTCAGGGAGGGACTGTCTCACATCCACAAGCACCCGTACTGAGACAGAGGGTGGCGGGTGTAGCAGGGGCGTGGAGAACCCGAGGCCTCGCGCGGCAGGCGGGCACCCAGCACTCACACGGAGAGTCAGCGCTCAGCGCGTGATGCTGCAACGCCCCGCCCAGTTCCCGAACGGAGGGATGAAGACACATCCACACAGACTTGTACACACACGTTCCCGGCAGCGTTATTCACAACAGCCGAAACGGAGAAACTGCCCTCGTGTCCGCCACCTGATGAACGGATAAATGGCACATAGTACAAGCCACACTCGGAATATCAAAGGAGAGAGGCACTGACCCGCCGTGTGGCGAGTGGCCACAAAACCTCACGTGGTCTGACTGCATTTCTGTGAACCGCTCGGAAGAGGCCAATCCTCAGAAGGAAAGCGGCTTAGCCAGGGGCGGGGAAGAGACGGCTACGGCATGCAC